AAATCTGTTGTGATAGATAATGTTCAGAAATCTGGTCCATGTAAATACGTGAATGGAATTATAAGTAATTTCATCTTAGAAACAATGTCTAAAAATATTAGATTATTTTAAATTACTTAAAATTTAAAAGACAGCATTTTAGGAGAATTATTTTTTACTTTCTTTATAGATTTGAAGCTTTTGTTTTTTATGTAGTGTCCATAGTTATTCTGGATGGTATGTATCCCTCAGTTCTCTTAAATGGTACTGTTTCAGCACCTTAATTTTGTGGTATGCAAGCCTCAAAAACTCTTCTGCTCCTGCTTGTAAAACTTGTCTCAATCTAGTGCTTCATGTGACTCCAGTGTAGAATATAATGAAGCACCTGGTAAGTGCCTTGTGAATTTGTGGATTGATCCACAATTGTAAGCACCACTGGTTTCTGCATGCAGTTATTTACATAAAATTCTGGTGAATGATTTTTAAGGACTATCTGAATGACAAATTAGATTAAGAAAAAAAGAATTTTTTTTTCGGCCGCAGCACTTAGCTTGCAGGATCTCAGTTCCCCAACCAGGGATTGAACCCAGGCCATGGCAGTGAAAGCCCAGAATCCTAACCACTAGGCCACCAGGGAATTCCCCAAGAAAACATTTTGAAAGTGGTTTTTGGTATTCTCCATAGACCTCTGACCTTGGTTTCGAAAAACTGCCATGAAGACGCCTTGTTAAAATTGAGTAGTTCTGAAATGAATCCTTTCAGAGGTCCTGGCTGAGTAAATTACTCTCCAGATAATTTTATAGAGTAAAAGGTACAAATCTTAATACAGTTTGCTAAAATGGGACAAATGTATATAAATGTAACTCACATCCCAATCAAGATTTAGAACACTTCCATCATCCTAAAAAAATAACCTGGTGCCATTTTCCAGTTAGTCTTTTCTGCCACTGTGTGGCAGAAGCAGCCTGCCAGAAGCAGCCGCTGTTCTGATTTCTATTGCCACAGATAGTTTGGCCTGCTTTTAAACTTCATGTAAATGGACTCAGTACATGCTCTCTTTGTGTAAGGCCTTTCAAACGCTGGGGTGATGTTTTTGAGATTCACGTTGCTGTATGAAGCAGTCATTTTTTCCTTTTTGTTACTGATTAGCGTTCCATTGTGTAAGTGTACCACAGTTTGTTTATCCATTCTGCTATTGCTGTACATCTGATTCAGATTCTGGCTATTATGGATAAAGCTTCTGTGAACATTCTTATACAAATTTTGGTGGGGACATATGCTTTCATTTCTCTTGGTAAATACCCCAAAGTGGAATTGCTGGTTTAACCTTATAGGAGATGACCAGTTTTCCAAAGTGGTTGTACCATTTTATGCTCTCACCAACAATGTATGAGAGTTCCAGTTGCTCTATATCCTTGCCATCATTTAGTGTTGTCAGTCTTTTTAATTTTAGCCGTTCTAGTGGGTGTGAAGAGGTATCTCACTGTAGTTTAAATTTGCACTTTCATGATGCTTAAATGATGTTGAGCACCTTTTCATGGGCTTTCAGGCCATTCATATATCTTTTGTGAAGTATCTGTTCAGTGTTTTACCTGTTTTTATTTTTTAATTTTAATTTTGTCTCTTATTGAGTTGTATTCATTCTTTATATTTCAAATACAAGCGCTTTGTCAGTGTCTTAGGTTGGGTTCCCCAGAAAACAGACTCTGAGAAGATTTGCATGCAGGAAGTTTATTGGGGAGTGCTCTTGGGAGTAACACCTGTAACTGGGTTATAGGTGTAACTTGGATTACTGGTAACCCAAGTAATTCTTGAGGGCAATTAGCTCTTTCTCTTTTCGGTACATACATCTCTTTCCTCTCTTCTCATCTTCCCTTAATTTGCAAATCTGGGGTATCTTTCATTTCCATTTCCCAGAGTAGAGCATAGTCAAAATGCTCACAGTACAATCTTCTTTCCTAGTAATTTATTCATCAGTTTGAATTGTGGAGTTCTGAAACCAAGGCCTTCAAATGAAATGGTATGCTCAGTCCAGTTCAGTTTTACCCTCATTTTTGTCCTTCCTGAGCAGTAAAACTTGACATTCATGATTTTTTTTAAACAAAGGTGACTTTTATGAATTGTTTAGAGAGAATGATGAAAAGACTAATTACCGTGTCACCTTCTACACAGAATAGAGCTGTTTTTCCATCTTGTGTTCTCCATGCTCTGACAGTTTGTCTCGAATGCTGTGATTAGCAGTACTTCGGTGAGTTTAGTGACTTGGAAAAGACAAAGACTCTTAGAATAGCTCAGTATTGAGCATTAAAATAGTAACACCAGTTGTCTGGTGTCATTTTTCCAAAATGCTTCGGCCGCTTTCTCCTTTTGACTCCTCTATCTTCACAAGACATGTAGAAATATTATTTTACAGAAGAAAAGTTGAGGGACTTCCCCAGTGGCGCAGTGGTTAAGAATCCGCCTGTCAATGCAGAGGACACGGGTTCAAGCCCTGGTTCAGGGAGATCCCACATGCCACGGAGTAACTAAGCCTGTGCGCCACAACTACTAAGCCTGCGCTCTAGAGCCAGCAAGCCACAACTACTGAGCCCACGTGCCACAACTACTGAAGCCTGCACACCTAGAGCCCGTGCTCCCCAACAGGAGAAGCCACCGCAATGAGAAGCCCGCGCACCGCAACAAAGAGTAGTCCCTGCTCACTGCAACTAGAGAAAGCCTGCGCACAGCAACGAAGACCCAACACAGCTGAAAAATTAATTGATTAATTAATTAATTAAAAAATAAGAAGAGTTGAGGTGCTAACTTGTTAACTAATTTGAACATGGAGTCAGTTCTGCCTCCCAAGCCAGTGCCCCAACCACTGGATGCATTCAGAACACTCTCAGTTTATAAGTAGTTAATGGCTATCCTGAATGTATGAAGGGGTGACCTGGCCTAGGTGCTAAGGGGATTTCCCTCTTGCTATAGGGCAAGTATTAGCTGGTGCTGACACTGCAACTGTAGTTCCCCCATTTTCAATAGATACACAATAGGTATAGATCCTTTCTTTGTTCCCAAACAAGGAACGGCTAATGTTTCAACCAGCCTTTCAGCTAAAAACCCATTTTCCTGTAGAGGCAGTACTTGTACATATATATTCCCACAGCTTCACAGTTGCAAGTTCAGTAGTATATCAGAACTAATACAACCATTGTTATTTTTGCTAACCTCATGAAAGAAACTAAAACAGAAGAGTTAAGTACATGATATACTATTAAATTGTTAAAACTTTTTCCTAAGCAACATAAATGCCCTCTTGTAGGTTTTTGTTTTTTTTTTTTAATTTCATTTTTGGCTGCGTTGGGTCTTCGTTGCTGTGCACGGGCTTTCTCTAGTTGTGGCGAGCAGGGAGTATTCTTCATTGTGGTGTACGGACTTATTGCGGTGTCTTCTCTTGTTGCGGAGCACAGGCTCTAGGTGCGCGGGCCTCAGTAGCTGTGGCTCACGGGCTTAGTTGCTCCATGGCATGTGAGATCTTCCCGGACCAGGGCTAGAACCTGTGTCCCCTGCGTTGGCAGGCGGATTCCCAACCACTGCGCCACCAGGGAAGTCCACCCTCCTGTAGTTTTAAAGATCATTTTTCATACTGCTAAGACTTCAGGAAGCCATATAGGGTACATCACCGCTTCAAGAAATTTTGAAACTTAATCTTTTATATCTTGTATGTCAGGATACTGTCTCTTAAAGAAATCTGAGTGAAAAGAAAAAACTGGGATTAAGTGGATTAAAACCATAGATCATTTATGGCATTGATTGTGATGATGGTTTCACAGATGTATACTTATTTCCAAACACATAAAGTTGTATGCATTAAATATCTATAACTCTAGTATGTCAGTCTTAGTTAAGCGTTTTTTAAAAAGCTATAGGACATTTAAGCATCAAACTGAGTACGGGGACTTCACTGGTGGTGCAGTGGTTAACAATCTGCCTGCCAATGCAGGGGACATGGGTTCGAGCCCTGGTCCGGGAAGATCCCACATGCCACGGAGCAGCTAAGCCCGTGTGCCACAACTACTGAGCCTGCGCTCTAGAGCCCGCGAGCCACAGCTACTGAGCCCGCGTGCTGCAACTACTGAAGCCCACATGCCTAGAGCCCATGCTCTGCAACAAGAGAAGCCACCGCAATGAGAAGCCCGCACACTGCAACAAAGAGTAGCCCCCACTTGCTGCAACTAGAGAAAGCCTGCATGCTTCAACCAAGACCCAACACAGCAAAAAAATAATAATAATAAATTTAAAAATAAAATTTAAAAAATGTGTTGTAAATTATATATTACACATTATGTTTATAATCTATAAAGTAAAAAATTTGTTAATGTGTAATTTATACTTGTTCTACTTGTATGTATACATTTTCAAAAGGATTATGAGATTATCAATGCATATTGTTGGCCACCAGCTTTTTCCTCATAACAGTACATCATGACTTTCTATATCCATGAATAGACCTGTATCATAATTTTTAATTGCTGAGTCTTGTGCTACTGTGATGAAGTATTAAAGTTTATTAGCTAGTCTCCTTTTGTGGACATTTAGGTTATTTTCAGGTTTGCATTCTTAATATGTGCAGTGGTCATCTTTGCATAGTTCTTTCTTTCTTAGGATAAATTTCTAGAAGTGAAATCGCTGGATCAAAGAACTCACATTTTTGAGGCTTTAAATCTAAATTGCCAAATTGGGGTCCAGGTAGGTTGCAGCAATTCACATTTCTTCCAGCGTTAGACAAGTATGCTCATTTCTCCTTATTGTGGGTAGTAGACAAGTTTTCCCACATCATTGCCAATCTGGTAAACTTAAAAATGGCATCTCCTTGTTTTAATTGGCATTATTATTCATGAAGCTGACGCTTTTTCATGTTCAGTGGCCATTGCAGATTTTGGCCTCACAGGTAAGCAGCTCACAGTCTTCATTGCAGGTACTTCAGAAACTTTACCCCGTTCATTCATCAGTCTTTTCAACAGCTTATGTTTTCTTTCCAGGAGCGACTAAAGCTGGTGACTGTTTTGGGTGCTGGCCTTCTCTGTGGAACTGCCCTTGCTGTCATCGTGCCTGAAGGAGTACATGCACTTTATGAAGATTTTCTTGAGGGTGAGAAAGAGAGACAAGCCTTTGAGATACGTTATTGCTGTGGAGGGCTGAAAGGAGAGGCTTAGTGGTATTTTTTTCTGAACACAGTTCATGTTCGCCATAGAATATATGCCAAAACATATCTTTTGACGCCTTTGACAATAAACACATCAGTAGCAGTTTGTGATTGAATGCCTCAATCCATGAATACCACTTAAGATTTATTTGCAATAATGCATGAATTCTGGGCTTTATAAGTATGACAGTCATTTTTTAATGTCCGTGCAAAAACTTCCAAGATCCTACATGATAATAATTGTATTTTTAGTGTTTTTTTTTTTTTTTTGCGGTACGCGGGCCTCTCACTGCTGTGGCCTCTCCCGTTGCGGAGCACAGGCTCCGGACGCGCAGGCCCAGCGGCCATGGCTCACGGGCCCAGCCGCTCCGCGGCATGTGGGATCTTCCCAGACCGGGGCACGAACCCGTGTCCCCTGCATCGGCAGGCGGACTCTCAACCACTTCGCCACCAGGGAAGCCCCTTTTAGTGTTTTTTAATTGAAAAAAATATATAGATAAACACATTTGGATTAAAGGACCCTTTATAGTAAGCTTTGTAGTGAGGACCTCTGTAGTAAAGGATAACTAAAACATTAAAGAGACCTTTCCTGACAAGCAGAGAACAGTATAGCTGTATAAGAGAAAATGCTGAGCAGTGTCAGCTTGGTTCACTCACCTGTTAAATGATTTGGTCCTTCACACCAGCTGGAAGGCATACTTGATTCAAATTTGTGATTCAGCAAAATCAGATGCCTACTTGTCATGAAACTTCACAGATACCTGTGAAGGACTGAAACCACAAATGTTAAATTGGTGAACTGAATCTTCAAATGCCAAGAGTCTGTTGGACTTTAAGAATAGTGTAAAGAGGTAAACACCTTCCAAATTTCTTACTAGTTATAGTATAATAAATAGTCTTTCAGGTCTCAGTAGAGGAAAAGAACTGTGTCTTTTATCCAGATTGATGATGCTCTTATGCCTAGGGTATGAACATGGGCATAATGGTAAAGAGTGAGGATTGTGGAGATTTTATTGCAAAATAGGACAGAAGCTGAGGATTGGTCAGCCTTAGCGGAAAAAAATAATAAATCAGGAGCCTTAGAGCAGTGGTTTTCACCCTTTTCTGATCATATATTCTATTGGGAAAAGAGATACACACGTGCTATTGTACTGATTTACTCTGTACATTATAAAACACACTCCTTAAGTAGAAAATTTTGGAATATGAGATTTAAAGTCCTTTCATATTCTAGTGGATCATCTTGAATTTTTCTGGATGTGATCATTACTATCCTGATATCCTAGGAAACATTCAGACTATGATTAAATAGACAATTAAAATTTGTTTTGCTCGTCTTTCTGCTAAGAATTGTGGGTGGCAGTTATTTCCTAAACTTGTCTGATAATAAAAGTTCCTTGAGGGAGGGGTGCATTTTTAAAATGTAGTTTCCTGGCCCCCAACCTAGACTACTGAATCAGAATTTCCAGGGAAGGGACCTGGGAATGTCTAATTTTAACAAGTTGTCAAATGATTCTTTTTTTTTTTTTTTTGCGGTACACGGGCCTCTCACTGCTGTGGCCTCTCCCGTTGCAGAGCACAGGCTCCGGACGCGCAGGCTCAGCGGCCATGGCTCACGGGCCCAGCCGCTCCACGGCACGTGGGATCCTCCCGGACCGGGGCACGAACCCGTGTCCCCTGCATCGGCAGGTGGACTCTCAACCACTGCGCCACCAGGGAAGCCCCAAATGATTCTTAATAGACAAGTTTGGGAGTAAGCTTTGTAGTGATAGACAAGTTTGGGAAACAAACTTAATAGACAAGTTTGGGAAACACTGGGGTAGAGGAAAGAACTGCTTCAGGTTTAGTTTTTGTTTGTTTGTTTGTTTTTTAATAACAGTTTATGAGATAATTTACATACCATATTTCAGGTATAGTTTTAAAGTTAAACGTAGCTACTATGTGTTGGGTTGCTTTCCTTTATTTTAATAGTTTTCCTGGTTTTGTCCTAAAATAATTTTGTGGATTCATTTGAAAATGTATGTGCTGTATAAACCTGTTTTTTCAAAAATAAGCGTTCTGGTCTCTTTAACCTTTTCACCATAGATTATTCTTCTGCCCTAAGCCATCATTAAAAAATCTTTTAAGGGACTTCCCTGGCAGTCCAGTGGTTAAGACTCCGTGCTTTCACTGCAGGGCGTGTGGGTTCTATCCCTGGTTGGGGAACTAAGATCCCACAAGCCACCGAGCCTTGCCAAATAAAAGAAAAAAACACTTTAAAAATTATTTTCCCTGGTGGCGCAGTGGTTGAGAGTCCACCTGCTGATGCAGGGGACACGGGTTCGTGCCCCGGTCGGGAAGATCCCACATGCCGCGGAGCGGCTGGGCCCATGAGCCATGGCCGCTGAGCCTGCGCGTCCGGAGCCTGTGCTCCGCAACGGGAAGGGCCACAACAGTGAGAGGCCTGCGTACCGAAAAAAAAAAAAAAAAAATATTATTTTCATTTATATATTTTACACTCACTCTTTTTGGCATGAATGACTGCATTTTGCCAAATGCATAAAGTCAAAATGCAGAACAGTCCCATCACCTTCATCCCCTTTTGTAGTCAAACCTTTCCCCCAACCTTGGGCAACCTCTGATCTCTTCTCTCTCTCTATAGTTTTGCCTTTTCTGAATGTCATATACATGTAATCTTGTAGCCTTTGGGTCTGACTTCTTTCAGTTAGCATAATGAGGTTGAGAGTCATCATGTTGTTCTGTGTATCAGTGGTTTGTACCTTTTTACTTCTGAGTAGTATGCCATTGTTTGGATGAACCATTGTTTGGATGAACCATAGTTTGTTTATTCCTTCACCAGTTGAAAGACATGGGTTTTTTCCAGTGTTGGTGATTATCAGTAAAGTCACTATAAGCATTTGTGTACAGGTCTTTGTGCGAACATGAATTTTTATTTCTTTTGACAGGTGGAATTGCTGGGTTATATGGTAAGTGTGTGTTTACCTTCATAAGAAATTGCCAAACTTGTTTCCAAAGTGCCTGTACCATTTTGCGTTCCCCTCAGTAATGTGTGAGAGTTCCAGTTGACTCCCTTCCCAACACTTGATGTTGTCTATTTTGTTTTAGTTTTTTATTTTAGTCACTCTAATAGGTGGGTAGTGGTATCTCAATGTGGTTTTGATTTGCAGTTTCCTAATGGCAAATGACGTTGAACATCTGTCATGTGCTTGATTGCCATTGCTGTATCTTCTTTGATGGTATCCAATCATTTGTCCATATTTTAAATTGAGTTTTCTTATTATTGAGTTTGGAGAGTTCTTCATGTATTCTGGATACAAGTCCTTTACTGAGATATGTGATTTGCAAATATTTTCTCCTAGTCTGTGGCTTCATTCTCTTAACAGTATCTTTCACAGAGTAGTTTTTAATTTTGATGAAGTGAATTTATCAGTTCTTTCTTTCATGAATTGTGCTTTTGGTGTCATATTTTAAAACCTTTTGCTAAACCCAAGTTCACAAAGATTTTCTCTTTTGTTTTCCTCTAGAAGTTTTATAATTTTAGGTTTTATACTTAGGTCTATGATCCATTTTGAGTTAATTTTGAACACAATGTAAAGGTTCATTTTTAAAAAAAATAAATTTATTTATTTATATTTTTTATTTTTGGCTGCATTGGGTCTTTGTTGCTGCACGCGGGCTTTCTCTAGTTGCGTGAGCGGGGGCTACTCTGTTGCGGTGCATGGGCTTCTCATTGTGGTGGCTTCTCTTATTGAGGAGCATGGGCTCTATCTAGGTGCACGGGCTTCAGCAGTTGTGGCTCATGAGCTCTAGAGCGCACAGGCTCAGTAGTTGTGGCGCACAGGCTTAGTTGCTCTGCAAGCATGTGGGATCTTCCTGGGCCAGGGCTCGAACCCGTGTCCCCTGCATTGGCAGGCAGATTCTTAACTACTGCACCACCAGGGAACTCCTTCATTTTTTGCATATGGATGGATGTCCAATAGTTCCAACACCGTTTGTTGAAAAGACTATCTCTATTGAATTGTCTTTGCACCTTTGTCAAAAATCAATTGACCATGTTTGTGTTGGTCTATTTCTGGATTCTCTGTTCTGTTCCATTGATCTATTTGTCTATCCTTTGCCAATACTACATTTGTCTTCTTGATGACTGTATCTTTATAGCAGATTTTGAAATTAGATTGTGAAGTCCTTCTAGCTTTGTTCTTATTTTTCAAAATTGTTTTGGTTAAACTAGTTCCTTTGCCTTTCTATAAAAATTTAGAGTCAGCTTGTCAGTATCTACAAAAAAAATCATGCTGGGATCCTGATTGATATCAAATTGAATCTATAGATTAATTTGGGGAGAGTTGACATTTTGAGAATATTGTGCCTTCCAATCCATGAACACAATATATCTCTCCATTTATTTAGGTCTTCTTTGATTTCTTTCATCAGTATTGTAGTTTTTAGCATACAGATCTGCAAATATTTTGTTAGATTTATACCTAAATATTTCATATTTTTGTGCAATTGTAAATGTTACTTTAAAAATGTCAATTTCCGATATTCTAGTATTTAGAAATTTGATAAGCTCCATGTAGCTTGAGCTGCTGTCAGGGCAAAGTGGCAGGAGAAAAGAGAGAACAGAATAACCTGTTTTCCCCCCATACTCTTCAGACCACTGGGGCCCTTTTCCTAGATACTGTGGCCAGAAAGATGGTGTATTTCTTGGGGTTTTAACTGCTGTTGTTACTGCCATGAAGTTCTGCAGCTGGGGCTGCCTTCAAGGCAGGGCTGGGAAAGAAAAGAGAGGGAGAGTAAAAGGAAAAAGAAGGGGAGGGCTTCCCTCCACACCAACACCTCTCAGCAGTCCCTCTTCCTGGTCCTCTGCTAGAAGGACAGGGTTTCTTTTGAAGTTTTTGCTGCCCTCTCTCCTCTTGCTATTGTTTACTCTTAATAGTCTTCAGGTAGTTTTATTTTGTGTGTTTTGTCCAGAGTTTTTGTTGTAATCAGTGTGTGATTGAGACTATAGTGGGTTTACTCCACCTTGGCCAGCACCAGAAGTCCCCATCATTCTTTTTATTTTTTAAAAAATTTATTTTATTTATTTATTTTTGTCTGTGTTGGGTCTTCTTTGCCACGCGCGGGCTTTCTCCAGTTGTGGTGAGCGGGGGCTACTCTTGGTTACGGTGCACAGGCCTCCCATTTGCGGTGGCCTCTCTCCTTGCGGAGCACGGGCTCTAGGCGTGCGGGCTTCAGTAGTTGTGGCACACGGGCTCAGTCGCTCCGCGGCATGTGGGATCTTCCCGCAGCAGGGTTCAAACCCGTGTCCCCTGCGTTGGCAGGCGGACTCCTAACCACTGCGCCACCAGGGAAGCCCTCCCATCATTCTTTTTAAAAAGTAAAATGTTAATATTCCACTTTATTAAATTTTGAGGTAACTCGACCTTGATGTTAGTTTAAACTAAGCTATCTCCAGATTTTCCTCATCTCTCTCTATACTGATAAGTCACATCACTTTAGTTTCTGCTACTTTATCTTTTTCTCCCTCCACCCTTTTCCACTCTTTCTTTATTGTACATCAAACCAACTTTTCTCCAAACTTTGAAAAAGGAGTTTATTTACATGTAACTACAGCCTATGGTTTAGTTCTTCTGTGAACCTTATAATTATGATAATTAACATATTTTTTCAGAGCTCAGTGAACCATGTTAACTAAGTGCTCTGACACTTTAATAAGCATTATTAAATGCGAATTAATGTAAAAAGGAACCTCTCACATACTCTTCTGTATTTATAGCTCTAAAATCACTGGCCTTAGATGATTATCAGCATTTATGTGAGAAAACCATCTTTCTATAGAAACAGAAGGGTTTTCTTGTTTTGTTTTGTTTTTGCGGTACGCAGGCCTCTCACTGTTGTGGCCTCCCCCGTTGCGGAGCACAGGCTCCAGACGCGCAGACTCAGCGGCCATGGCTCACGGGCCTAAGCCACTCTGCGGCATGTGGGATCTTCCCGGACTGGGGCACGAACCCGTGTCCCGTGCATCGGCAGGCAGACTCTCAACCACTGCAGCACCAGGGAAGCCCTAGAAACAGAAGTTTTGAGAACATAGTTTATTGAGTACTGCAGTCCTTGTTACTATGGAGCTAATGTTTGAAACCACCATAATTCTTTGGAACATGAGAATTGATATGTTTAGGAAGGCAGACTGTTGGTCAAAGACCTAAATATAAATGTGTTGTGCTCATAACTGGATGATCATTGAAACTGTTGTGGTCAGAAATAGTTCAGTATAGATTATCCCACTTATTTCTCCAAGAATGCCGTGTGTAAGATTCTTTAGAGAGATACAGTTATCATTTTATGGCTTTCTCTGTCATTTTGCTCTACATTTAAAGTAGAGGGTTAAATCTGCTATTATATTTAATTAACTTTTATCCTATCATTCATTAATAAAAATGGAGCTTTTTAAGGCTCTTGTTATACTTTACTTTCAGGATTCTGAAACATGGATGATCCTGGACTAATACAACCTATCTCATCTACCTCTTATTCTGTCTGCTAAAATGTCTAGTCTCTGCTTTTTCCCTGCCCCTTCCTCTCCCTTCACCCCCAGCATTGTTTTATTGTTCAGTATTGTATCTGACCAGATAATCAGGCCAACTATTTCATATAAGATGTTTAAAAATAAATCTCCCAAATTAATTCCATTTAATGTGCAACTGTGTTCCTAAACATTCAGTGAGCACTTAACCACATACCAGGTATTGTGTGGATATATTGCCTGATCATCACAGCAACCCTCTGAGGTGGATACTATTTTGTAGATGAGGCTTTTGAGCCACAAAGAGGTTAAATAATTTGCCCAAGGAACTCAGCCAGTAAGCGTCAGGACCAGGATTTGAAACACAGGCTGTCTTACTCAGAAGACTACACTTTTTTTTTTCTTAACATCTTTATTGGAGTATAATTGCTTTACAATGGTGTGTTAGTTTCTGTGAAGCCTACACTTTTAATGACACTGTGCTACATGGTGGACTTTGTAAGGAATTTCACATTACCAAAACACTTTATCTGCTAAAGAAATCTGTTTCCTACCTTGTAATGAGATTCTTGTCTTTCAGAAACATGGTAGTATTTTGATAAAAGATTCACTAACATCCCTTTAAAATGTCAGCTTTATACATTTGACTATGGTCAGTTTTCTGTTTTACATCAGAAACAGAATGCATCATTATTAAGAGCTACACCACCCTATTTACTGAAAACACATCAAGTGTAAAGAACTGTCTGTCTTTGCCAGAAAAAGAAAAGTATATAGTAAAAATCTGTGTAGGTTATAAGGTGTGAGTAGAAGTTAAGAAATTTAAAACAACCAGTGAAGGCCAAAAATATAAAAATCAAAACTGGGGATCACCTCAAAAAAAACAAAAAAAAAACCCCAAATTACCTGAAGGTTTGATTCTTAGAATGCTTTGTTCTTTGTACATGTTAATCTGAAGAAGAAGTTCCAACAAATCTGTTCAAAGGGTAAATTGATTCTATTATATTAAATTTAACGTATGTGTCTGTGTCATAGAAAGGCTACATACTATACTGATGGAACTTACTGGAAGGATTCCTATATGAATATCTAGGGAAAGAATTAAGCCCATAATGATTTGCTGAACACTCTGTTAGTGGCACGAGAAATATATGTCTGATGAGCAATATCCAATGATGATACTGGGTTTATATACTCTGCAGTGGGGAATGTGATGTGGAACATGTCTCAGCTAATGAATTACCAACCAGTGCCCTGAGTAAAACAGACACAACGATAACAACCTGAAAGTTCTTTTGAGAATGAGTAACACACGTCCACAACGTAATGTATTTTAATTAAATAGCTTGGTTTTTAAAAAATTTTTATTTTATTGAAGTATAGTTGATTTACAATGTGATGTTAATTTCTGCTGTGCGGCAGAGTGATTCAGTTATACATATA